TGTTTTTCTGGGGTTCTCATTGAAGATGACGTCACGGCTCCGCCTACACTGCGTTACTATAGATACTACCCCAGTTCCTAAACTGTAATGGAAATGCGCCATAAAGTGAGCCAGTCCTAACGAGGCCTAGCCATACCGAGCGGGGCCGAGCGAGGCCGTGTAGTGGAAACGCGCCATTAGTTGGCATACAGGGAACTGCTTTAGGCTGGTTTAGGTCCTATCTATCTGAACGCTCTCAGTTTGTGTGTGTCAACAATGAATCTTCCATGCAAACCAAAGTGAGCCATGGAGTGCCACAGGGCTCAGTGCTTGGACCTATTTTGTTCACATTATCAGTGTTTCCCCTAGGATGGAGTCATAGCAGCGGTGCTAAGGCATAATGTGAGTGCGGAGCGCGTGGAATTTTTTAGTGTGCGAAGTGCGAAGTGCGCCCCGCCAATTTGTTTCTATGTGTCTGCCAGCATAAGAAAGGCTCTTGAGGCCTAGTACCAGGGCCGGTTCTAGACAATTTGCTGCCCTAGGCGAGATTTTATAAAGAATAAATGAAAAATCTCTACAAAAGATGTATTCAGTATTGTATGAACATGTTTGAATTGGAGGGTGGACGTCACATCCTCTAGGGGGGTCCGGGGGTCTGCCCCTCGGGAAGATTTTTTTTTGAACATTTTAAAGTAAAATGAATTACTGAGTTTAGGCACGTTAATAACGTTTTAATTAAGTTGACTACAGTATATTCATATTTGTTAGTGCTTTCATGTCAATTCGGCGAACATAAACATAAATGATCGTGAAGATGATGATTAAATTAGGATTACAAATCGGTAGTGAGAGCCGTGCTGCATTTCCTCCCGTCGGAAGTGATATAAAAACAGACCGATTATTTTTGTAGTTGTAAACTCACGTGGATTAAACTACATTTATTAGTGCTTTCATGTCAATTTGGCGAACATATGATACATTAAATGATTGTGAGGATGATGATTACAAATAGTTTGTTTGAGTCGGTCTGCATTTCCTGATGAAAAAACATAGCGATGGTTTTGTACTTACGCCAACGTGGATTAAACAACATTATTTTGTGAAATAAAAGCATGGTGATGTTTTGTAAATGATTACATGTCTCTTATTTAGCACAGAATATGATCCTATCCGTAACATATGGATCTTAACAAATATCCGCTATATCAGATACCTGTAGATCGATCAGCTGTTTATTTTGTAGTTCCAGTGTTGCAGCTTTTTAGTCACTGCTCCCCCTGGTGGATCCATGATCCATTGCAGCTGGTTTCATTATAATTAAATGTATTTATCAAGGGGGCGTATCAAGTCATGCGGGGGGGTTTTCCTTTTCAGCAGGGGCCCACCCCGTGCCGATCACGGACCCACATGGGTAGGCGTCTGAAATGACGTGCTACATCTGTATGTTGTAAATGTATTATCTTTTCAATTTACACACGGCATCTATTGCACGTCTGTCCGTCCTGGGAGAGGGATCCCTCCTCTGTTGCTCTCCCTGAGGTTTCTCCCATGTTCCCCTTTAAACTGTGGGGTTTCTCCTTTTTTTTTTAAGTGTTTCCTTGTACGATGTGAGGGTCTAAGGACAGAGGGGGTCGTATTGTCATACTGATATTCTGTACAAACTGTGAAGTCCACTGAGACAAATGTAACATTTGTGATATTGGGCTATATAAATAAACATTGATTGATTGATTGATAGATAGAAATACCTCATTTTGAGTTATTCAGACACAATTAACACTGTCTTGTTACATAAGAATAGATCATATTTGTTAAGTGTTATTATGGAAGAATAACTATTCTTGTGGTCCTACTGCCTTATTAGGTCCATATTGAGCAGAGCATATTAAGACCAAAACTTCCTTACTTGCAATAAATCAGCACTAATTAGAGGGTTATTGAGGAAAAACTCTCAACTAATGGCTTATTACTTGTAGAATATGGTCATGTAGAATAAGACATTAATAAGTGTTTTATAATGAATAAAGAGCCAATATACTGCTAATATGCATGTTAATTAACAACTAGTTGATGGTGAATTTGTGTACCTTAATATAAAGCAGGGGTCTCCAACACGTCGAACACCGGTAGCTCGCCAAGCAAATAAGAATAAATAATAAAAATAATAAAAAAAATAAATAAATAAAAAAAATAATAAAAAAAAAAAAAAAAAAAAAAAAATAAAAAAAATAAAATAAATAAAAATAAATAAAAATAAATAAAAATAAATAAAAATAAATTAAATAAATTAAATAAATTAAATAAATTAAATAAATAAATAAAAAGGAAATGTAATTAAAATTATCTACCCTATGCATAAACGAAACCTCAATCATAGTGAACTCTATCTACTTACTACAACTCTATATCTATCTAACACCCCTCCTCCCCCACAATGAATATCGACCAATCACGTTCTTGCTTGATTTCGAATTAGAATTAGAATTGGGAGGGATGAACCCCTCTTTAATGGTCACACATGCAGAGCACACAGCACACAGTGAAATGTGATCTCTGCTTTTAACCCATCCTAGTACCAGGAGTCTAGTACTAGGAGCTTTGGGGAAGTGAGGAGGGAAGTGGGTTGTCCGGTGCCTTGCTCAAGGGCACCACGGCAGGGCAGGAGGTGAACTGGTAGCAGTCCACACTCCATATTTAGGTCTGGTCGGGGACTTGAACCGGCGACCCTACGGCTCACAGTCCAAGCCCCTACTGACTGAGCCACTGCCGGGACCAGCGTTGCAGTCGGGTAGAAAAGCAATGTGGAGCAGCACCTCACCGCTTCATAAGGAGTTTGACCGTGATTGACATGTCCCCCCCACTTTTCGAAATCCCGTTTGTGTCCCCCCACTTTAGAAATATGTTTATTATTATTTTTTAACGCAAGCCGTCATCGCCACGGAGGAGCACACAGCCTCTGTGAGCGAGCGAGACAGAGAGAGAGAGAGAGCACACCTTTATCTATTTAATATAGTTGTACAAAATAAAGTAAGAAATCATTCCAATGTGTACTATAGGACAGTAAAAATGTTGAGAGCTGTATCCATAAATTCATTTTGTGCTCAAAGTGCACCAGATTGATGCATTTAACTTAATTTAACTTCCCGATAGTGCATGCCCCCAGACCCCCCAAGAGGAGGTGAGGTCCCGCCGAAATAAATCAGGTTCAAATAATTAAATTGCATACATTTTCTTTTAGTAAACACTGAAAACGGGTCCCACAGACCCAAACAGCACACAAAGGTTAAAGGTCAGCATATAATAATGTAAAAGTAAGTAAAAGTAGCTCTCATCCTAAAAAAGGTTGGAGGATATAAAGTGTTACCATACAAATATATTAAAAACATGTCTATGATGTGTTTTGCTCAAAATACCAACATATCATGCAATTTAGACATCCCTCATATCCCTCTGTTTCAGGTCTGTTAGAGGAGGGCTGCCCCCTTTGGAGCACGCTTACAGTGGTTTTGATTTATTTTAAATTCTCCAGTCGGGCTTCCTTCGAGTTCAGTCTAAGCAACCAATTGTTTTCTCAAAACACACACACACACACATTTTCAGGCAAGTATGGCTAATAGGAATAATTATTTGAGTTAATTTGGTACAGATCTACGGAGCCCCTAAAGCACATGTGTCAAACTCAAGGCCCGGGGGCCAAATCAGGCACTTGGTGGATTTAATTTCGGCCCGCAGGATAATTTTAAATTACTATTAGATCTGGCCCGCCGGTATATTGCACGCACACCTTCACTCAATCCGGAGGGTCTCCTCAGCTCAGAGCCTGACCCCAAACATTGATGACCTTGCACCCAAGATGAGATGTCAAGTATCTGGCTTGAGCTAGCATCACAGAGCTGCAGATAGAGCCATAAGAAATGAATGCAACTGATTATTTAATGTTTCATGTTGTTTTTATAGGCAATAATTGAAGCTTTGTTAGTTCCAGGTTTAATATGTGTAATAAGTTCATTTCAATAAGTTTTGCAATAAACATTGAACCAGTCCGGCCCTCGACTAGTACCCATTTTTTCGTGCGCACGAGAAACTAACCCGTTATCCCGACTTTTTTTTCCGTGTCCGTAGGGGCTCCGTACAGATCAGTTGTGGCATTTACAAATGTATGAATTAAAGTTTAAAGATGCTCCATAACACTGATGGAAGATACTTTTTAGGATTGTGATTGACTGTTTCAATCTGAAATGTTTTATTAATATGTTTGTCTGCTAAATTAGCAAAATGCCAACGCCCTTTCCGAAGAATCTCATTTATTAGTGATTTGAACAAATGTATTATTGGGGTAGGTTTTGTTTATCAAAATTGATAAAAAGGGAGGAACTGTTGGGAAAATATGTTCCTAGGCCCATAACTGTGAGCCAGTGTATCAGTTTGTACTGACCTCACTGAGCACAGGCACCTGTAGCTTGGCTGCTGTGCTCAGTGTGTTGTCTCCCTGTTCCTGCCTGTTGGCGTCAGCTGATAGAGGTGTTATGGTTTTATCTTGTTATGCACAATGTTGATTATTCTCTCAGAATCAGCTAAATACATGGGTCTGGGTAGAGATCCTCAGAATTGGTTAGGAATCCGTTGTGTCAACTCATGGCTCGTGACACGTCTTGTGAATTCTCCGGCCGAAGCTCCAAATAAACAGTCAGTGTTTGCCATCAAAGCTCCAGCTCTCCCCGTGTCTCTCTGAGTCCTGTTTCCAATGGCTTCAGAAGTTTCCATCACACAGGGTTTTCTCTAAACTGAGTAACAGGGGCGCTGCACCCTCTTACTCTCAACGTCCTGATACCAAAATGCAGATTTTCCCCATAAAATGTTAAAGTGATGCCAGAAAAACAATATTTATGTTCATCAAAAAACGGTATAATTACTCCAGAAATATGAAAATGGTGTCAAATAGAGCGGCAGACGGCAAAGAGAGCAATTAAGAGTCTAACGAGTTAATACAAGGTCTAAAGAGTTAGAAAGAGTGAACAGACCTGCTCTGTGGATCTGAAGCTGAGGCTGTAAAACAGCGTCCAGTAGTTTCCGGTGTCTCTCGTTCTCCTGTTTTGAACGAGACAGTTCCTCCTCGTACTCTGCTATCGTTCTTTCAAACAGAACAAAGATGTCTTCAGCAGCCGCAGTGAGTCGCTGCTTCACCAACGAGAGCAGCACAACACTCATGTTTACTAAATCACCACTTCCTGTTAGACACACTCTGTGTTGCTAGCGTGTTACCAGCTAGCATGCTAAGCTAGCTTCTAGAGTCCGAGGTAAAGGCTTCAGAAGAAAGAGCTACAAGTCAGAGGTTCATCCAGACACACAGACGATGGATCAGCTGCTCACACACACTGTCTCAGGAACACCGAGAGAGAACCATGGATGTAGAGAGAGAACCCACGAGACGCGATCTGGTTCCCAGTTAGAACAGCGGGACCATCACTTCTTCTCTCGATTTATTGGCGGATTGCAAACAACTTTAAGGTGCATACCGCCACCTACTGTACAAGAGTGTGTATCACCATATCATCCTATCACCACTTGTGGAATTATACCACTGTATTTACGTTGTTTTAAATTCTTCCAATCAATCCTGTTTCATTCAAATACTTAAGAATGGCCTTCCTGGTAGCTCTTACCCCCTCACCTTCTGTCCCCAGTGTCCCCATCAGGCTCCACTCTCTTCCTGGTAGCTGTTACCCCCCCTCACCTTCTGTCCCCAGTGTCCCCATCAGGCTCCACTCTCTTCCTGGTAGCTGTTACCCCCTCACCTTCTGTCCCCAGTGTCCCCATTTTCTAAAATGCTGGAGAAAATCTGAACATTCTGACTTTGTTTCTCAGCATCCTGACTTTTTCCAAAAAACATAAAACTTTTTTTTCAAATCCTGACTTTTTCTAAAATGCTTAATTTTTCAGATAACCTCAACATTTTGACTTTTTCCTAAAATTAAAAATTCTGACAAATTTTCTCAAATTCTGACTTTTTTTCTGAAAAATGTCAGATGATAGAAAGGCAACAGTAACTCAAATAACCACTTCTTACAACAAAGGTATGCAGAAGACCATTTCTGCTGCGACATTCAGGCGGTAGGGTCAGAAGACATGAGAGCATGGATCCATCCTGCCTTGTATCAACGGTTCAGGCTGGTGGTGGTGGTGTAACGGTGGGGGGGATATTTTCTTGGCATACTTTGGGCCGCTTACTACCAATTGATCATCGTCTAAACGCCACAGCCTACCTGAGTGTTGTTTCTGACCATGTCCATCCCTTTATGACCACAGTGTACCCATCTTCTGATGTTACTTCCAGCAGGATAACGCCCCATGTCACAAAGCTCTAATAATCTCCAACTGGTTTCTTGAACATGGCAATGAGTTCACTGTTCTCCAATGGCCACAGTCACCTGATCTAAATCCTATAGAGCACCTTTGGGATGTGGTGGAAAGAGAGATTGGAATCAGCCGACAGACCTGCCAAAATCTCTGAGGAGTGTTTCCAGCATCTTGTTGAGTCTATGCCACAAAGAATTAAGGCAGTTCTGAAGGCAAAAAGGGGGTCCAACCCCTTCTAATCAAAAACTGTATAATTACTCCAGAAATATGAAAATGGTATCAAATAGAGCGTCAGATGGCTGAGACAGCAAAAAAGAGTCTAAGGCAGGGATGCCCAACCAGTCGATCGCGAGATGTGTCTAAAAATAGAACAACAACATTCAGTTTTATCGTTAATGTCCTATAACATAATCTTCCTGAGTAGTAGTACATATCCCGCTTCAATCTCATTAGTATGCATAAAAAAGTGACAGGTCACACCTTCTAAGTCCCGCCCCCTAATTATGTTAATGACCCCCCCTTTGATATGCTAATGAGCCCCTTTGTTCGAGGTGTTATCGCGTACAGGTGTTACATCCTCACCGGTAGCCCCCACCCCCCTCAGCCCACCCCCCTCCCCCTCACATACAGGTGTTACATCCTCTCAGGTAGCCCCCCACCCCGCTCAGCCCCCACCCCTCTCAACCCACCCCCTCCTTACAGCAGGTTTCACATCCTCCCTGTCGCCCCCCATCCCCTCCTCAGCCCCCACCCCTCTCAACCCCCTCCTCCTCCCCCCTCCTGTCCGGTCGGCATGTTCGTTACAGTTTAAATCTTCCGTGGCAAAATTAGAAAAGTGCCGGCTAAAGGTCTTCTATGTTATTTAATGAGCTTTGAAACAAACTGATATGATTCGATATTAAACCAACTAGTTATAGTAGATTAATTAACTATTCAAAACGTGTACAGTAATTTACAATAACACGGGAATAATAAACGGACTGCTCTCCCCCCTCCTGACAACACGCCAGTATCATGCAGCTCGCGGGTCCAATAATGAGTGACTCGACAGTAAAACTAAAACAAACTTTAACTAGTTTAGGTAGTTTGAGAGGTAATTAAAATAGCTACGTGTGTTATCTACGAGTGTGTTTTGTTCCGCTCACCGCATGCAGAGATGCATGTCGAATAGTCCGCAGCACCGGGGTCTCCCTCCGTCAGCAACAGCGGGTATCCCCCGTCAGATTAGACGTTACTAGCGTTTATGTCCATGCATAATCAGCCCCTATAGGACATCTTTTGTCTGTCACACACTATTCTTGTATGTCACATAAGAGGTGCAACTGATGCGGTATTGTGCTAAAGGGGATATCATTCTGGCCGGAGAGATTTCCATACACACACACACACACACACACACACACACACACACACACACACACACACACACACACACCCATACCCGTATTCCCCTCCTACCCCCGCCTTTTTTTTTTTAAATAAGAGTTGGGTTAATAACTAAGGAGGCTCTCTTGAAGTGTACGGATGGTGAACTAATGTTTAATTACTATACTAACTATAAGGGCCTCTCTTTGTTGAAAGGAGGGGTAATCTGGTAATAAATGCAACAAAGTCTCTCTGAAGAGGTTGGCAATAAATTAAAGATCTTAATGACCCCATGGCGTTTGTTTTTTTTCTTTATGTTTAATTACATCAAATCCACTAATAAAATAATCCCTATATGAAGTTATATGTGTCATCTTTCCTGAAACTGAAGTGCTGTCCGTTTTACAAACAAGTTATCTTTCTGCTTCTTCACCCCTGAATTTTCCTCCCCCGTCCCTATTACTTCAGCCATCACATCAAGTCAGATCTGTGAAATTAAACACCTCTTCTCAAAGCGTGACTTCCCTATTGGGGGAGTGGGGCAGTAGGGCCTAACCCGATTTGGCCAAATATACTAACATGCAGAACATATGGTATGTTTTGAAAAAAGACTAACCATCTATCCAGTTCAAGCTGTATTTAAGATGTGACATTGCGCTCTGACTTTTTCCCGTAAAATCGTGACAAACTATTACTTATTAAATTTGACCTCATACTGCTTGGTTGAAAATGATAGATGAGCATTTTACCAACAGATCAACGCGCAATCAACCCATACAGGACATCTCTTTCTACACATTATGTGTTATCACTATAATATCATGTCATTATTTAATGTTGTTTTGTTTGTGTGTGTGTGTGTGTACAACGAAGTCTCTTTGAGAGGAAAATTATAATTTAAAGATCTTATTACCCCCTTATTGTTTAACTACTTCACACAACTATTAAAGAATCCCTATATGAAGTTACATGAGGCTACATTTACTGGTGTGCTTCCCTAGATGATGTAAATAGTCTAAGTGTCATGTTAGGGGGGCATTACGGACCTCAGGAGTCCGCCCTTGGAGGCTTGGAGAGCGGATAAAGAGAGGTGTAGAACTAACAAAAAATAATTAAGTATTTGCAATGCATAAACATAGAAGTTATCACTGTCATATTATGATCACTTAATGTAAGTAAGTTTAAGTAAAACTAACACAAGTCAATATTATTCACCTAGGCATTAGTGGGCTTGAGGGTCTCAGGGAGCGTGGACAAAGTGACTTGTCTCTGTATTTGAGGATTCTCAGTGCAGGCACTAACAGGAAGCTGCTGTGTATTAGTGGAGAGTCCTCTGAAGGCAGCTGTTATTTCATTCACACACTCATCTGTTACCTGCTGACTCCTCATAGTAAGTCTAGCCAAGTCAGCTGTTAAGTTGTCCATACCATCGCTTGATAACTGGTAACTTTTGATTGACAGTCCAGCCATGGCAGCTGCCAACTCGTCCATATAATTCTTAAGAACGTGGTGACAATACTACAAAAAAGTATATATATTAGGTCAGTTAACCTTGAAGAGCTAAACAGTTCAAGTGGTAAGTAACTAAGTATTTGCAATGAATAAACATAGAAATGATCACTGTCATATTATATAATCACTTAATATGGATATAAGTAAAACTGACACAGACAGTTTAAACTGCTTGTTAAAACGCTATTGCTTATTGTGTTTTCTCAGCACACTAACATAAATAAGGATGTATAATATAAAAAACTAGAAAACGATATAGTATTTTCAAGTCTTACTTTAGTATGGTAAAATTAAGAATAAGTCACATTAAAGTGTGTCATGATTTTCCGTAAAAAAGTCAAGTATAGTTTGTCAAAAGAATATGAAAAAATCATTTTGTAGAGTAGTATGTTGAAAATCTCAGTGTTTAACTGAACACACCTACATGTGATAACGCCTCGAACAAAGGGGTAATTAGCATACAAAGGGGGGTCACTAGCATCAGTGGGGGAAAGGTGCTACGGGAATGAACTTTGAGGAGGGGGAACTTGTAAGAATTTCCAGCTTTTGAAGACAATTATATGGTACCCGTCCTTACAGCTAAACAAATCCTATGCCAGGTATTCAACAGACCACAAGAAGCACAAGAAGCCCCAGAAAGGATTACATTCAGAGCTAATAATGGTGAAACCGAAGAAGAAGCAAAGCAGATTATAATCGTTGCGGGTGAAAGGATAGAGAATTTGCAAGTGATGTTAATGCACTTATCTGATATAAAAAATGCATTCATTTACTTCCAAGAGACCCCTAAACATCTAGTTGGGCAATGTGAATTGAACGATAAACCGATCACTGTAAATGAAACGCGGAGAGAGGCAGCAGTGCAAATCGTTAAGTCTATTACCTTGTATGCACTACGACATTAACTTGGTCAAATGTAATATGTCTTTCCGAAGATGTGGCGAATGGTGTGTTTTTCAATTAAACAACCATAACAAATGAAAATGTGTTTTATTTT